TTCAGAACCGGATCTAGATACAATATTCAAAAGTATTAAGTTGCTCGTTTTAGTCTTGTAAAATTCCTGAAGAAATTCGCAAGGCCATCACAGTGTTAATGATATGGTTAACTCTTTTTCCCCAAATTATTTTTGGATCATAATGCTGCCTTTAATTGCGGAATAATATTTATATGAATATAGTAGACGTGTACATGTATATGTACTTAATATATTATGTATTACAATTTCAAATTAAACTTAAAAAGTTGAACTCGAAATGCAATAAAATTTATTTTTTACAGTAATTTGTGCAAATATTAAAATGTTGTCGGTATTATTTATAAGTGTTATTAAGTGCCTTGTCTTGTAAAAGTAAATCCCAAAAGTTATTTTAACTATGTAACTGTTATATGAAAATATTACACTTCCGTCAATTTTATTTGAAAAAATCCTCTGAGATTTCATACGCACATATAGACACATACATACAAATATTTTCATTAGTAAGTAAAATGACTCATTCAACTAAAAAATTTTCTTCATTTATAATAAAAACTTTAAAAAATAAACTTAATCCTAAATAATTTAATAATTTTCAAAAAAATTTTAAATTAATTTCCTGTACAGCCACTAAACTTTTCATAATTGGTTCATTACGTATATAAAATATAACAGATAATAATTTTTATTTTAAACCCACCATTTAGATTGCTGCCTTTGCAAATATTGGTTTACATGCAAATAGTAATTTGAACTTTATTAGTATTGAGATTGTAATGCAATTTCCCAGAATGCGTAAGTGAATTAAATATTTTAATATTGTATTAAGTATAGTATAATTGAAAAATCATGTTTTTAAATTTCGACCTTGCGTTCCACTATGTCGACGTAATCTTTTATTGCTATTATTATTGTTTATGTTCAATATTTTCTAATTAGAATATTGAATTAATTTCCAATTATAGCACATAACACCGTCTTTATTTTTTATATGAGCTATAATAAAAAGTGTTAATTGATTAGAATAAAAATTTAAATTATTTTAAAAGTTAAAATTTTTTTCTTTGAAAACCAGTTTAATGATTTTTAATTGATCTTTTTTACAAAACCATGAGCATGTAATTAAAGATTTAAATTATTTAATTATAGCGTGATTGATCTTTAATGTTTAAAAAATTCTTTAGATTATTGTGGGAGATGTAGGTACTGTAAACATATGAATCACTCATTAAATCTTAATCAATGACTCATGCTTAATCTGATTAAGGTAGATTAAGCAATTTAATCTGAATTAAGAAATAAAAATTCAACTAAGAAGAAATATTTTAAGTGAAAAGTTGAAATAGGAAAAAAGTGAATTTTGGTTTTTATTTAAGTTGAAATATCATTCAATTCTAAATGCTTGTAAAATTAAAGACTTGAAAAATGAAGAATTCAAAACATTATACGCGAAAACTAAGATTTCATGAGATTAAACCATGTCACTGGATAAAGTTGTTAAGATATTTGCGAAACCTTTTCATCAATATATTTTGCATATATTTTGCATATTGAATTAAATTTTTTGAAAGCTCCTTTCATCAAGATCATTTTCAAAATTTGGGACATTGTAAATTAGATTTTTTAAAAAGCCTTACACTATTTTGCTTTTTTCAATATAGCAGTCACCTCCAACCGTAACATTTTCATCAGGCTCTCAAAGCATCTTCCGCACCGTCTCAGTTGCAGTAAGTGTTTCAGCAATTCGCCCTCAGTTGTTCAATTTTTTCAGTTCGCTGCTTATTTATACAACCGATTTGTAGAACTAGATCGGTGTACAGGAAACATGGTCATTTGCAAATATACAAATACGGACTACCAGAAATTTGTAACTATTAATTGAGAATTTTTTTTCTAAGTATGAATTTTAAAATTTTAAAAGTTTTTAATATTATTTTTATAAATGTAATTTTTATTTTTATAAATGTATATTTCAGACTTTAAGGTTGATTTTAGAGCGAATGCTAAGCTGCTATTTATTTTCTCTCAGTTAAACCACTCTATAGGATCCGTGATTAATAAATTGACGCAAACTATTCATTGCATATATTGATTTTTTTTTTGTAAATAATTTTAATTCAAAGGGGATCGATAACAAAATTCAAACTTAAATTAACAATGTACTTCATTATAATTTTCTTTAAATAATTTCACTTTAAATTTGAATTAAAAAAATATTATGAACTATTTCCTGGAATTTTCTTTGTATAATATACTAAATTATTAAACATATTCCATTAACCACATATTTATGTAAATAGGTACTTGTAATTTACATTGTAATTTGCATATATACGATTAAAATGTGTGCTTTTTTGTGATTTAATTAAAATTATAAAATCAATTTTTAATAATTAAATTACGATAATGTACCCGCATATGAACTTATGTGTGTATGTAAGAATGAGTCCCTGGCTGCAAAAACCATTGCTTTAAATATAATAGCTTTCAGACTTTTTATTTTTTCTTGTAAATTTTATTCCAGAGAAATTAATCACTGCATTTTACCATACAAGCATTTTTAATATTTTTATGAATCATTCACCGATTTTATTCTATAATATAATTTTTATTGAAAATTATTTTTATACCATAAAATTTTTGTTTTTTCTTATTGTTATTATTTCGTATATAGCTAGTATATGTATTGAAAATTGACCTAAAAAGATATTACATTTTATCTTAAATACTCTTGAGATTTAATTTTACAAAATTTATTTTTGATTTTTTTTATTTTTATTTAAATGGAATAATGTGTGATTGAAATTTTGTATCGCGTTTATATCGGCTGAATCGCTAATTCATTTCTGGGTATTATGCGCACATATATAAAATTAAATATTAAAAGTATTTAAAATGCGCGAATAAATTGTTTTAAAAATAAATTTTATTTTTATTATAATAATATTATGTGGTATTCAATATTGTATAATTGAAATGAAAATATTGTAATTTAATTCACACCATGGAGAAATTGTAACACTTAATACATTTTAAAAAATATTAACTGATTTATTGGAAAATTGAATGAATTTGCGAATTTATCATGTCAAGTGTGTGTGTGTGTGTGTATTTAATATTGGCGATTTGCTTCTTTTGTGGTTTAAATTTTAAATTGTTTTTATATTTTGTTTTTGGGTATTCTCTTGAAGCTTATTTATGATGTTTCTGAGATGAGATGATTGCAGACTTCTTAAAATAATTTTTATAAAAATAGACTGGAAAATTATTAAATTAGTCTGACTAATTTCAAGATTTTTATGTTTTATAGCCTTAGATTTTTTATTAAAATTCATTAAATAAATTTATTGAATACATGGATGGGGAACATGGAATTTAACATATCACCTTGCATATGGAAAATTTCACGTAATCATTTGATTCCTTTTACATGCCGTTGTACTATATTATTTCCTTAGTAGGCTATTTATCTGTGTTTAAATAAAACATGTTGAAATTATATAAAATAGTGTCATCTAATTGCAAAACATTTTCCGTGTAATATCCATTTAAATTAGCCTATTGGACTGTTCCTCGTGTGACTTTGTTAATGCAAAGAATCTAGTGTAAAAATACTTTCCAGGTTTTTAAAGAGAAATTGTATTCGAAAATGGTATTTCAAGTAAATGAAACAATTTCTTATTGGTGTACTAATATGATGTGTAGAAAAAAAACTACCAAACTCAATTTACACAGTTACTACTTGTAACCACAGAAATATTTTTATTGATGGCATTATCACGATTTTTGCTTAATACTCGTAGTAGGAGCAACTTTAAGTAATTTAAAAAATTTTTACTAAAACTAAAATTACATTTAAAAAATTGCATTTTTTGCATTTTAATATTGCACACAATATTGTCAGTAGCTCAAAATCTTAAAAATTTAAAGTATATGTCAATCACTTAACATTATGAATCATTTTGCATGAAAGTAAAGGTAAAGGTGTGTTTATTACGTGTACGTGGTATACAATAGTCTTTTATAAAATAATGTCCCAAGTAAAAAAAAACATTTATCATAAATTTTCACTTCACTTTCGAATTAATTAACATTATAAAAGAAATAAAAGAAGAAACAAAAAATGTCTGCCACATACAATGCATTTATTCAGAAATACTACTTGCGAATTTGAATTCGTTCAGTATCATCTAATCGGAAAATCTAATTTTTTGTTATATATCCTGACCCCATGATCAGAGCCTCCTATAAATTGAACTGCAGTTCCCTTATTTTCGTTTCTATTACAAATCAATATTTCTGAAATTTATATAACAATTGGAGTTTATTTATGCATAAATTTGTATACAAACTTGAAAATTCTGTGAAAATAATCACATAATCACATACAGGCACATATAATTATGTAAATTAATACATTTAAAATAATTATTTCATTCATAAACTATAAATTATTTAACTTTATAGTTTTAGTCTACTTTAAATAAATTTTCATTTTATTATTACAATATTGAATTAAGTACGTATAGTCATACGATTCTTTGAAAAGATGTGGCGCTAACAATGATCTATTTTCTTAATACAACAATGTCTTGAATTAATTGATTATTCTATATATTGATTGTGTCTCCATTTCAAATAAACATAATTAATTTATTATTTAATTTTAGACGGTATATTAAGGAAATTACAATGAAATGAACAACAATATGTCAATGTACATAATATATTTAATATTTATATACTGAGCAAGTTAAACAATTTACAAAATTATATTCCTATCACATTTAGTCGTTAAAGTGAAATTAAATTAGACGTGATTAAATGTCAATCATTTTTTATTGAATTTTATCACCTTATTAGTTACTCGTTACTCGTTTTATTCACATGAAATACATATGTATGTACATGATATACATATAAACATAATATATGTACTTACGATAAAAAATAAATTACAAAAAAAAAATAAAATAAAGAAAATAAATTTTTTCTCTCTTCTTTTTTTCCAATTACAGAAGCAACAAATTGCAGTCAAGTTAATTGTCCACCACTATCAGAAATCACATGTCCTGATGACAGTTTTGTACGGGAAACAAATGAAGAAACAAATGTTATTGCATCACCTGATGATTATAAAATTGTTAAAGAAGTTTTTATACAATGTTGTGTTACACAAAAATGCGCCTGTCGCACCTGTCACATACCATCATGTGATAATTCATCTTTAATTATAATGGAATTACAACCAGAAACCGAAATACCAGGAAAATGTTGTGGAAAATATGATTGTCAAATTGAACCGAATTGTTCTGAAATAAATAATACAGAAAATTATTGGTTAACAGATTGTAAACGTTGTAAATGTAATAATGGTAAAAAAGAATGTATTGCTGTATGTGATGAATCAATTAATCAAATAATACCTCGTATACCAAATCTTAATGATACTGATATTGATAATGATGATAATAATAGTAATTTAGGTGCATGTTATTCAAAAAAATTAAATCAATTCTTTATGAATGGTGAAAAATGGAAAGAAGATAATGATTGTACACAATGTGAATGTTTTGGTGAACATGCTAAATGTGAAGAAATTTGTAATATAATACCACCACAACCATCATTATTACCTGTTAACGGAATTATGAATAATGAAATTTCAACAATACCAACATGTATATCAAGTCAATTAAATAAAATCTTTAGTAATGGTGCTAAATGGGAAGAAGATAATTGTACACGTTGTGAATGTGTTAGTGGTGTAAAAATATGTCATGATTCTTGCCAAAATCCATTATTAGAAAGATTCGGTCCGATTAATTGCATTTCAACATATTTACAACGTTCATTCGGTAATGATGAAACATGGCATGAAGATGACGGTTGCTCATTTTGTAAATGTGAAAATGGTGAAAAACATTGTCAAACAAGTTGGTGTAAAGCACCAAATTGTAAAAATCAAGTTAAAATACCTGGTGAATGTTGTTCACGTTGTCTTGAAGATGAAAATATTAATATAACATCAATACCATCAATAACAACCGAATCAGAAGAAACTGAAAGTCCAGCTGAAATAAATATTGTAACACCAATCATTTTAATACCAAATAATAATTCAACAACAACAACAATATCATCCGGAATAGTTGAAGAAGAAACTGATGAAAAAATTCCAAATATAATTTATACAACAACAACAACATATCAAATAAGTGAAACAACAACACAACCACCACAACAAGTATTACCATCATCATGTACAAATAATAATGAAATGCATAACAGTGAACATGATAATGAAGTTGATGTTACATATTATTATTGGATAATAACTGTTTTATCAGTAATTTTGATAGTATTTATTGTGCTTTATTTATATGAAGTAAGAAGAAGATCAGTGAATTCAAGATCATATGATCCTGTTTCACATACTGATGATAATTTTAATAGAATTTTAGCAATTAAACCAATTACAACATATACATATGCATATGAAAATGAAAAAGAGAAAATAAATCAAAATGGTGGAATTAAAGAAAATGAAAAATAGTCAAAAATGAATTTTTAATTTTAGAAGAAAAATTAAAAGAAAAATTTAAACATAATTTCGAACTGATTTTTTTTTTTTATATATATATTAAATTCGAAAAGAAATTTATTTTAAATTATATATGTAAATTTTTCGATTTAAGAATTTAAATTCAAAGTTACTGATTATAATATAAATTAAGCGCTTCTTATATAATTAAAATTTCTCCAATATTATAAAACAAGAAAAGAAAACATGTATTTTTTAGCACGTTTACAAAAAAGAAATTGGAACAATGCTCATTAAAAGCATGTCTGGATCTAATTTTTAATATAAATATAATTAAATGACCATCAAAAAAGTGCATGTAGCTATAAAATGTACAGAAGATTTTAAATTTCCACATTCAATATAAAAGCTATATAAATATTTATATTTAATAAAATAATAAAATTTGAAAACTTAATTTTGAATACAAACACATTTCCTAAAAATTTCATGTAAGAACAAGTTTTGCTTGTTAAGAACAAAATCAAATTAAGAAAACTCGTTTAAGAATTCGAACTTAGACAAACTCATTTGGACGCAATAACTATTTGGGCCTCTTAACCATACAATATTTTATTAAAATTTTCATAATGAACTCTTAAACTGTTTCGATTCTAAGCTTCGTATTTCACCCTGTACAAGCTTGCACTTTTTATATTTATATAAAATTAAATAAAATTTATATGGGCATTTATTGAAAAAGTCCAGTGAAAATATTTAAGTATTGTTAGCATAAGTTTTCCATATATAAATAACACACTATTATTTTTTAATATTATTAAAAATAAAAATTTAAATGAAAACATGAAAAATAAAAAAATTCTTTTATTCTAAAATTAATTAATCATAAATATTAGTAAGGATAAAATTTAAAAAAGTTTATAAAAAAAAAATAATAAGCAGAAAAAAAAAAATTAATTTTTTTTTAAATATTTAATTTTTAATGTGAATATTAATTATAGAGTTACCAATATATCGTATTTATTGAAATAAATTTAAAATATAATATTAATTATAATTAATAATAATATTTAAGTAAATTTAATAGCTGAACTATACGGCATATATACGCACGTACATACACAAGTTTTATGTATGTGAAGACGGACTTTATAATTATTTAAAAAATTTTAATTTTTTTATTCATTTTTGACTATTTTTTTTTCCCAGTCATTTCTTTTGATTGAAAATTATTTTTAAGTTTTCATTACATTGCTTTATAAAATCATGTATATGTATGTATATACTTATATATTATGTGTATACTTATATATTATTTTAAAATTTTTATACATAATATTTACATAGAGCATGCGGTAGACTCCTAATTAGATGAACGAATTAAAATTTCAAAAAAAATAGACAGGTTTCACTATGATGGCTTGAATCATATAGACAACAGTAGAAATTACTGTATACTAAATGTAGTTGTTGAAGTATGTAGTACAGAAATGAATGTATATACTCCTAATATACACCTACGTATGTATTCAATAATATCTCTGGTAAAAATCTCAATATTCTTTCATATTTCACAAATTTCAAGTTTTCTTACTTTCTTAGTTTACATTATCAGAAATTGTTCGTGAATTTAGTTTGATTTGATCAAATTTCGACATTTAAAGCTCCACAAAAATGCTGTTTATTGGATAATATAAATTGGCCTCCAATTTATGTATTTTCGGTGTTTGAAATCTTGTTAGAATAACAATGTTGAGCTACTCGTTATAAATTTTGTTCTAAATAATTGATATTTCAATTAACTTTTTGATAAATTTGACATTTATTTAAATTTCAAGCATGTTCACATAATTCTGAGTCTACTGTAATTGAAATTATTATGCATACATATGTACATTGTATAATACAGATGCACACATATAATATTTTGATTTATTTTAATTTAATTACCATTTTCTACTGTATTTTTATTTTAATTCTTGAACTTTTGATTTGGATAAATTTTATTTTCTCTTTATATATATAAAACTACATAATATTTATATGTAAATTATGTAATTATGTATATATGCTATACAAATGCAAATTATATTGTAATTAACATAATTCATTTTAATGAGGCTTATTTGCTCTGATTTTTAAAATTTTTATATTTCAATATCTTTTGTTAATGACATATGAAATAAAATGTAGAGCTATTTTAATCGAGGAAGAAAAAATTAATTCATATTCATGTATATGTATGTTAATAATGTGATTAATGGTAAAGAAGAATTGCATAAGAAGAGAAAATATTTTTAAATAAATATAACAAAAATTATATTTTTATTCAATATAATTGTTTGCAAATGGCTGTACAAGTATGCATATAATATAAGGGATTTGTAACATTTTAATATCACTTGTAGCATCCATCAATATTGAGTATGAAGATGATAGGTTCACATTATGTGTATGACTTGTTGATTTCGAACATTAATACATGGTATATTTTCAGTAAATTCCCTTAACAATATGCAATTTTAAATGAAATTCCTAATTAACAAGTAAAATGAAATTTCATATGGTCTTTAACATTTGTGTTGAAAAAATTCCTACTCTGTTTGTATTTTTACCATTGAAATATAAAGAAAATTAAAATAATTTTCCTTAAATTCCTCCTTTTCTGGTTTTTAATTTAATTTTAAAATTTTATTTTAGTTTAGCAAACAAAAAAAAAAACAATTTTTTTTTATATATCTCATTATATATGCCATTATTATTTAGTAAAAAATTTAAAATAAAAATAATTAAAGGTCTCCGAAATTTTTATTATAAAATATTTTGTATTCACATCTACATGTACTATATTATATAAAATAAGTAAAAAATTAAAATATTATGAATTAGTACTTATTTTTAAATAAAAAAAATTATATTTAATCGATAAATTAATTAAAATTATAGACTAATATAAAAAAATATTTTATTCTATTTAAATACCATACATAATAATTAATTATGAAAAACAAATTTTGTTTTCAATCGCAAATTAATTTTAAGTATTTGTAAATTTTGTTAAATAGCAAAACGATGAATTTTATAATGGCGAACATGATTTTATTCCTTACAATTTACAATAGACATTTAAAATTTAAGAATTTTATAAAACTGCTACATACTAAAAATAATTTATAAAGTGTGCTATAGGCATTTTAAATATTTTCAAATTTATTATAGAATTAAATGGTTTTTTTGTTATTTTTTTAAATACCTAATCATGGGTGCAATTAAATTGTAAAAATTCAAATTGGAGAATACAAAAATGCTGAAGAGAGTATAATATTTTAATGCATTTATTTCAAGAGCGTGCTAAATTATTAATAACATCAAATTATTTAAGTAATTTACAATATTTTTTTTTTATTATATTTTATTGAACTTACAAAAATCAATTATTTTGTTTGAAACAACTTATATATTATTTTTACGCCATCTTCAGGAATTTATCTAAATTTATTTTTGGACTTCTTATTTCGGTACATACATGCAATTTTTAATTTTGCAATTACTGCACTAATTGTGAATTCATTATGCAAATTTTTTTCCCTTTTTCACACCTAGGCTATTGTATGGCATTATAATAGAATCACACTTCAGTTTCGTTAGTGGGTAACTAGATGGTAACTAGCCTACCGTAGTTTAGTCATAATATTAATGGATTGTTATTAATATTAACCTCACAACATGTTGTATTGTGGCATTGAATTATCTACTCTTTTATTATGTTCAATAATTAAAAATTCACAATTTCATTTAAGATTTGTTTACAAATTTTCGATTGCAATTAAAATTTCTTTTTATTAAAATTTTTTAATATTGATTTTCATTTTTATAAACATAAAATCACTCGACAAGTACATATTAAATTCCCACCATGATTTCTCATTCTAATTATGTAATGAACTTTTTTTTATATTCACAATATTTTGTTTTTTAATTAATTGTGGCTACACAAATAAATAATTTTTTTTTATATATTTAAATCCTCTATATTGATTTAATTGTTCGCCAATATTTAAAAGCAAAAATTGAATTAAAAAAAAATCAACTATTTTATGCGATTATTAATTATTATTATTAATAAAATAATGTAAATTATTATATGATAAATTAAAAAACAAAAATAAAATTTTAAATATTACAAATACAAAAAGAAAAACAAGAAAAAAAATAAATTTTTTTTTAATAATAAATTTATACAATTAATCATTAAAATATTTCAATTACGCATTCATAATTAAAAAAAAAAAAAAGAAAAAAATGAAAAATAAAAATGAAAAAAAAATTATGATAATTTTGTTTGTATTTTTTGTGATATTTGCTTGTAAGTGTTTTTTAGGTTTTTAGTTAATAAAACAAAACAAAAAAAATAAAGCAAAAAAAAAAGAATTGATTAATTAGAAAATAAAAAAAAACGAGTAATTAAAAATAGAAAATAGAAAAATTAAATAAAAATTTTCATTATAATTTTTCATAAATTAATTGTAAATGAGAAATATATTTACAAATAAATAAATAAAAAGAAAAAAAAATTATATAATTATGATATTTTGTAAATACATTCACGTAAGCATATGTTAAATAAAAAATTTTCGATTGTAAAAGACGATCCCAAATGCAAATCACAATTTGAACTTTAATTAAATTTTCCAATTTAATAATATTAAGGAAATATGAAGCATAATATTAATTTGTTAATGAAATGAAATCCGGAGTCCATAATATAAAAATGACTTCGGGGTCTTCTACATTTAAAAATATGCAAAAGGTTAATTTCTATATGCAATAAATGAATAAATTTAAATATAAAAATTTTCACAATTCTGAATGTTACTAAACAAAATATTTTGTTCTGAATTCAAAAACACATAATATGTATATAGATTCGACTACATGCAACTATAACAAATAATTACGAATGATTTAATTTTAATATAAACTTATAAATCTTAATAAATCATTTAAAAAAAATTTGCTATTGTTTTCGTAGCGAACTCTTATAACATTTTTTCGATTTTATCACCAGTGATTTCTTGGGCTACCAAATAAATTTCTCGATCGCAATTATGTTTTGATTTTCCGTAACAAATTATATTGTTTAATTTATTAAGACAAAAAGCACTATAAAATTCTATTAGAATGTACAAAAAAATATAATTAACCTGCACATTCTCGATAAAATATAAGGAAAAGTAAAGAATTCTTCTCAAATTTCTCTTAAGAAAATTAATATTAATTTGAAATTTGAATTTAAACACAATGCAATGAATTCGCATATGGGACTCGTCATTCATATTAAAAACAAATAATGAAAATAAAATAAAATAAATCAATTAAATAATTGCAGGAATTTTTTAATAGAATA